TATAAGTTCTTAAAGTTTCTCCTTTTCAGTAAATATTCACTTTTTTATCCAGTGTTGCAATTATAAATTTTTTATAAATTTTTGATCTTTGTTCTTATTGAGAGCACACAAAATACTTGACTCAAATGTTAATAAAACCTAGAAATATCATTTCCTTGCAAGAGTTAATCATACAGGTAAAACATATTCATTATATTGCTAGTTTATGACAGCATTTCTTGTTTTCTGCTCTTACTCCTCATCATTACTTCCTTCTTTGTCCTAATTCTACCCCTAAAAATTGTTCCTTTCTACAATTGCGTTATTGCAGTAAGATGCTAATTTCATTTGAAACATTTAAAACCAATGATCAAGAAAGCAATTTTATCTTTTTACTAGCTCCTTTCCCTCCAAACATAGTCTAAATCATATTTAGTTATAATTTGTCAATCAACTTTGATACTAAGTATGTAAATGGTCCCACTTTCAATGGGATTACCACTGGATAAATTCATTATAAATTGAAAATATCTTTTTTTTTTAAATTGTGAGAATACCATACAGAGGTGTTAAAATTACATGGGCAAGATAACGAGTACATTTCTTATCAAGCATTGTTGCCTCCTCTTTGTTTCCCCTTCCCATCCCTTCCCATACTCCCCCCTATCCCCCACCTGATCCTCCCCGTACCCCCCCCCCCACCAAAGTTGTAAAGTTCGTTTTTCGACATAACGACTTGTACATCTCAATGTTGCAATGGGTCCACCTATATCCCTAGTTAAACGATTTGTTTTTTCCCTTCCCTTCCACAAATTATACCAACATCAAATGCAGTGAAAGCATGGGTTACACCGTCGGGGAGGGACATACAAAGCAACAAAGAAATCATCTAATAAATGTGTTAGAAACAATCGCATGAAAGAAAAAAAATTGAATACTAATACTTATCTTGGGGTTCATTCCCCTAACATCAACTTATCTGACCTTTTCTGCTTAACTCAGACATATACTAATTATTGCAAATAAGGACTCAAAATGCATTTAATATATCTGATATATAAAATATCACACCTTAGTATAGTCTGATTTAAATGTACTCAAAACATATAGTTTATGGGTTAGAAAAAAAAACTTATCTAACACAAAAGTCATTGTAATAAACTGTTGAATATCTCTTGTAACTTGTTGATGTTCATATTCAAAAATGTATCAACATTTAATCATTTTCCCCCTCATGTTCACTGGCTGGCAGGGAGCAGATATCCACCATTGTGACAGTATCATAACATATATTGTTAGCTTCTAGGCTTATGAAAGATAACCATTCAAAAGTTCTGGTACAGTTTCTATTGAACATTTGTTGCTTTAGAACATCGTAGGCAAATACATCAAATGATTGCAAGTCAAGGGCTGTATGTATACTATCTCCCAAACTGTGAATAGGAGTTTTACTTACAAAATCAAAACATTGACTCAAATCCCAAAAGTTAATCTACAATTCATTTAATACCTTTATGCTGCATATGTGTCACAATACAAATAATAACAATAAAATTTTACAATAAAATGTTGAACCTTGGATATATAAGGCTGGGAAATATAGATTTTTTTCTTTTATTTCATATGGACCTTTTAAAATTTGCAGTGCATGGCAGAAGATTGAGATTTGCAAGATGGTATATCCACTGGTTAATGAAAAATTAATTATGAGTGGCTTGGCATTTGAAAGAAAAGTTTAAAAGTGAAGGATTGAACAATTGTTCAGGTATTTAAAATGATATATTAAATTGTAACAAAATATTTAAAATATCTTCAATTTGAAAGTTGTTAACAAGGTTATACAGTAACTTAAAATAATAAATTTCTAAACATTTTATACATTTGTATATATACACATAAATGTATATACATAAATATATATGTGCATATATATATTGAAGTATAAAAATGGAACAATTTATGTCTTATGGTAGTAGCACTTTTTAATCAAACCAATATGAAGCAATGTTATTGATGGTTTTTCCTAATTGTGAATAAATCATCCCTACTGATTGAGAGTAGAAAAGAAAAAAAATAGTAAATTAAGGCTTTAACAGTAATGTGGATTTAAAAAAATGAATAAAAAAAATAAGTGAGCATGAGACACAAAACAAGCTGCATGAGAAAAAGAAACCAGTAAGCAAGGGTATTTATGGATAATTTGCATTTGACTAAGGAATTTCAACATACTGGTAACCTTCAGGAAAACATCAGAAGAAAGCATTATCAACTAAACCAGTAGAATTAGCAAAGACTGAAAGATGTGTATGCACACATGTGTGACATACACCCAAATGAGACAGAAAGAACCATGAATTATGGAAGCAAACTGAAGCATGGAAAAGCTTGAACACAAACCTGATGGGATCACCAGCTATGTAATTGTTTAGCTAGGAGGGAATAAGAGGGTTTTCAGGCAAAAAGTATGTATCTCTCACAGAGAATGTTTACCACTAATGATGTCCATTCTTAAATGAATGTGTTAACATTTGAAATAGTTTGATTTCTAGTCTTCACAATGTCTGCTCACATTTGACAAATACAACTAATTATGGTTTGTCAAAAATGTACTTGACCTTGACTGATTTTTAAGAACTATCTTAATCAGATCAATGTCCTAGTAAGATCAAGGCTGCCTGATTAAATTTTTCTATAACATAAGCTACAGAGAGAAGTGAGATAAACATGGAAACACACACATACACACACACACAAACACACACACATACACCATTGTGAATGGAAGGTGATTTCATCCAAAAATTATACAACAAAATCTTCACATAAACTAATATGCCAACATACTTTGAAAGTTTACAAATCTCTATGTATTTTATAACTAATCTCACGAGACTTTATCTAGCTGACCTGAATTTGGAAGGTCATCTATTGAGAAATTACTTTTTGGGTAGCAGGAAGTTTTCAACTCCACTTTATTCTTGAGTTTGGTTGAATGCATTCATAGTAGTGTACCCATTTCAGTGTCTCTTTCCAGGAGATGATCTCAACAGAGCTGATAAATGAAATGTTGAAGTTGAGCCTTCACACATGGGAAAACCAAGAATTAGATCAAAATTACATCTTGCCAGTCAGAGAGTAGTAACTTCTGTTCATATCCAACTTGTCTTAAATTTGAGGAAGTGACTCATTTCTTAAACACCCTTTCATGGTCAGATTAATCATTCACCGTTCATAAAACATGAGCTTAATCTCTTCTGAAATCTTCAGTTTACACTTATCATTTCAACTAAGTATTAAAGATCTAATTCAAGGTGTGAGGATTTCCTGCTCCTATTAGTGGGGTCCAGCAACTTCTGATTTACTTTCAAAACAACTTACCTCATACACTGTAATCTCCAATTAAAAACTGAGGAGATAACAAAGGTGAGATTAGAAAAACATAAAATACAGCAGATCCTATTAGCTACAATATGTAGTTGAGTGAGGAGACACAAGACATTTTAAAAAATAGTTTGTGATATTGACACTTTGGTGGTTTTTATTGTCATTTTATTATTATTATTTAACATATATTTTATTTTACTTACTGTTTGCAGTGTTGGGACATGAACCCAAGGCCATTCAGATGTTTAGTAAACACTCAGTAAACCACTGTAATTTTCTCCTCTGTGTGTGTATGTGTGTGTGTGTGTGTGTGTGTGTGTGTGTGTGTGTGCGTGCGTGTGGTGGCTTGAACTCAGGGCCTGGGCATTGTCTCTGAGCTTCTTTGCTCAAGACTAGCACTCTACCACTTAACTTTTTTTTCTGATTATTAATTAGAGATAAGATTTTCATAGACTTTCTTGCCTGGGCTGGTTTCAAAGCTAGATCCTGAGAACTCCTTAGTAGGGAGAATTTCAGGCTTAAAACACAGACACCCTACTAGTACTTTTGATTTTTAAAAGAAGAAATGGAAAATAATTCTATTTTCAAATTCAGCTAATTAAAACTGTGAATATTGAAAGGTAGAGTACCTTTGTACCTGTGAACTCTAATATGAAATGTTTAAAACTTAGGAGTCTGAAATAATTTAAAAAAAACACTACTGTACTACGAAAACCTACTTGGATATATAAATGCTTAATCATTAACAATTAATTGGAACATTTCTTAAAATTATTGCTTTATCATGAGCATGCATTTTTAAGTTATTGTATAAAGATGAAAAGGTCTCAATCTCTGTGCAGTAAAATGTTTCAAATTGCCATCCAAAGAATATAAACAAAAGGAATAATATATTCTTAATGAAATGTATATTAATTACTTTGCTAACATAACTGACCCATACCTATATTTCAGATATGGTTCTAATTTTATAAGTCATAACTATAAACATATGTAAAGAATAATGTTAAAATTTTCATCTTGAAGCATTTCTTCTCATTTTTATCCATACAGTCTAATCTCCCATTTGTTTTACTATAACAAACTGCCTCAATCAAGAGACAATGCACCACAAGTATTTCCTGGTTTTCTCTTGTTTATTTTGCCATAATTAGGGTGAGATAATAGCATCTTGATATTCTTTCTTTTTCTTAAAAATATATTTTATTGTAAAGATGCAAGAAGGGTTACCTTTACATGAGTAAGGTAATGAGTACATTTCCTACCAAGCATTGTTACCCCCTCCTTTGTTTTTCTCCTACCATCCCTTCCTGCCCCACTTCCCAAACCCTCTCTCCCCCACCAGTTGTAATACTATGTATATATGACCATATAATAAGATGCTAAGCTAGATGAACCCCAAGATAGGGACACAATAGGTTTTATCTTTGTTGTTATTGTTTTTAATGTACTATGTGATGTTTTTGTTTCTTTTGTATGTTCTTCCCCCATGTTATAACCACTGTTTTCATTGTATTTGATTCCTGTGCCCTTTATCTTGTATGTATACTTTTTGAATTTGGGGAGAATAAGAGAAATAGCAAAATGCTGAATTAGGATACAGGTTGATCCATTGTAACAAGAGATGTACAAGACACTATGTTGCTTTCTCTTTCTTTGGCACTTCAAGGATTGAACTCATGGCCTCCTACTTGGTAGGCAGACATTCTTTTCCCTGAGACACACCTCTACACCTCTTTTCTGAATTGATTATTTTTCAGAAAGAATATTGATTTAGGGCCAGGTCAGACTGGGCTTTGATCCTTCCACTGGCATTTCCTCTGTAGCTGGGATAATGGCACACAATATTTTTTTTTAGCTATTGTTTAAGATAGTTATGGGAATTTTTTGGCCCCAGCTGGCCTTACACTAGTATTGCTGCATCTCTGTCTCCCAAGTAGCTAGGATTATAAGCTTGAGTCACCATGCCTAATTTCTTTCACATTATCATTCTATGTGATAACCAATTATTATTTACAAAATTGTTTCCTTACCATAAAATTCCATCCAACTATCCTTCATTCATTAAATTCAAAATGAAAGAAGCTACAATCAAGTCATCTATAGTTTTTTTTTTTTGGCCATCACCATATTTGCTCTCTAATGTAGATGTGAGCAAATAAAGAGCCAGTCCGCACAATAAATAACTATTATGCTAGTGGAATTTGAGAACTGAGCAATCTGGGAAGCCTTCCCAGACATAAGTGGAAATTAAAGCTGTATAGATTTAGTTTATATACTTGACAGAAACAAAAAAGAGAGTTCTGTGTATTGTGTGTCACTGTCAGGTATAGCCTTGTTCAGACAGATGCTGAAACAACTCATGCTCTTAAATGTACTGCTGTTCCTATTCTTTCGGTGTACATAATCAAGTAGATATTAGAAGAACTGATTCCTGATCATCTGAATGATTGGATGTTCCTCTGTAAAGCTCAGATGTACACAAAGAAAATATTTCAGAAATCGAATCTTTAAAATGTAAAACATGAGATGCAAATGAAGTGTTTTGGCTACTCCAGCACGTTCATATTCACTATCCATCGCCATGTGACTAAAGAGATATTGGAACTACATTATACCCACTTCATACCCTAACATGGGCAATGCACCTGCACCCATCCCTAGATAAGGAAGTGTACGCGATCAAATATAATAGAAGAATACAGCCAAGATTGATTTTGATTCTTGATTCACAACACTTCCATTAATCTATTTGGATTCCCACAACCATGATTCTCTAGTGAAGTACATGAATATTGTAAGCAAAACATTAAAATAATAAATATATTTGTTTAAGGGAATAGAATGAACAACTTTAAAAACAGAGAATATTAGACAAGGATGTATGGATTTCATAAATTTTTATGGTACTTTCCAAAGCTGACTACAGTAATATTTTATTATTTGTGTTAAAGGTGCTGAACAGGGGCATTACAGTTACATAAGTAAGGTAGTGAGAACATTTCTTCTTGATCGCTTACCCACTCCCTCACTTTTTCTCAAATAAGATAGTATGGTGTCAATATGATAATGTTGAAAATAAGACACAAAATGGATAGCTATATTAGCTTAACTTCTATGGAATATTACTCCATCTCAAGTACAATTTTTAATCCCAGCCTACCCTCTAAGGCATCTATTCCGAAGGCCATAATCAATTCGGTCCTGTGAAAAGAAGGAAGCCAATATATCTGGGTCATAATGAGGTTGGAAATATGAGTGTGTTCCAAGATGAGATCTTAAACATTTAATAAGTATTTTGTATGTTCAAACTAACAGAATTTGCCAGTCACTGGTGGCTCACTCCTGTAATCCTTGCTACTCAGGAGGCTGAGATCTGAGGATCACCATTCATAGCCAGCCCAGGCAGAAAAGTCCATGAGACTCTTAGCTCCAATAAACGACTCTGAAGGCCAGAAGTGGCGCTGTGGCTCAAGTGGCAGATCGCTAGCCTTGAGCTGAAGATCTGAAGAACAGTGCTCAGGCCCAGAGTTCAAGCCCCATGACCAACAACAAAAAGTAAAAATGTATTTTTATAAATTTACCCAAATCCTTGTTAGTTTGTAGAGGAACCAGTGTGGAAAAAAGCCAGTGAAGAAATATTTGGTAGCTTACACTGACAAAGTGTTTGTGAAGATGGAATAGAAAGCAGCTGCAACTAGATAATACTAGTTGATAGCCAGCATTAAAGATAAACATATAGTGCTACCTGATATACAGCAAGGGAAAAGTAGAAGATAAAACAAGGAGATGGACCAAAGAGCGCCGGTATTCCTGCACCGAATCCAGCCAGACTAAGACAGAGAATGGAAAGAAACAATCTGGACAAACTCCAGAAAAGGTATCAAGAAACATCTCATCCCCCAAATAGATAAATCTATCGACCTCTAGCGGAATTTCAAACCCTCAAACACAGAGAAAGAATTGTGTTGTGACCCATAGGTCAGGAATATGAATTAGATCAAGGCACCTGGGGTAAAGCATGTGGTGGGGGGACCAATGAGGTTTAAAACTCTTCTACCTGTCTGGTCTGTCTGTTAGGCAGATCCTTTCTTTTAGTTTCTTCTTTGTCTCTTAGCTTTTCTCTTTCCAAGATTCTATAGAAGGCATGAGAAGAAAGGAGACTATAAGGCATTTCATGCTATTTAAAAATATATTTTTTTGTATTTTCTTTTTCTGTTAGCTTTCATTGAGGAGAGAGATTTCATTGTTATGTCTCCATGAGAAGACTTTTTTTTTTATCTTACTGTCAAGTTGATGTAGCGATATTAAAGAAGCACCAGCTACGGGCATGAAAGTTGACTGAACACAAGACCTTGAGTTCAAGTTGTGGGAAGACCGCACTGCTTAATGGTGAAGTGCATATATGAGCATACCTACACCATATGGCCCAGGTATATATTAGGCTATACCCAATAGTTTTCTGTGATGTGCACATTGGCAAAACCACCTTAACATTGCATTCCTCAGAATGCATCTCCATTGTTAACACAATGATACATGACTGTACTTACTTGTTCCTTGCTTTAATTATTATCTTTCATTATTCATTAAAGATCATGCATTTAATAATTATTCCTATTTAGACAAGTTTCTATGTGTTTCTCCAGTTGTTGATACAAGTTTATGATAACATTAAAGTGCTTTCCAAATTATGAAAATTCTTTTTATTACACATCTCTATATAGTTTTACATTTTTATCTGGTCAAAAACACATTAAATTCCCATTACTTTAATATTCCATATATCATGCTTCTACAAATAAGGGTTTTCTACTATTCTTAATAACTAAGCAGGAGTTTATATTATTAGGGAAGAATCTAAAGGATTTATTTTAATTGAACAAAGGACAATGGATTAATAACAGTTAGTATTTAACCTTGGTTATCCACAAAGTCTAAGGTAAAACTAGTAAAAAGATGTCAAGATGTAATTGTTCTAAACCTGGCTTCTGAAACTAATTAGCTTGGACTATTCTCTTTGCTTTGATAGATGTTATTTTACACATCTCTAAAATGACTGAATGAGAACCAGCCATGTTGGTTCATATCTGTAATCCAAGCTACATTGGAAGAAGAAATGAGAGGATTGAAGTTTGGGCTAGTCTGGTTTTAAATGATATGGAGATCCTATTCAAGAAAACCAATCCAGGCATGGTGGTAATCCCAGTGGTTCAAGAGGCAGAGCCAAAATATCATATGAGGCAAGCCCAGTGCATTAAGTGTAAGACCCTAAATGACAAATAAACAAAAGCAAAAGAGACTGAAAAAAGGGGGGTATGGGTAAATAATTTGATGAAATTATTGGTTACTGAGTTTAAAAAGAGAAAGCTCAACATACTTGGGAACAACTAAGAGTTGCATTACAGGCATTAAAATTTTGTTCTTAGACATCTGAATGAGGCAAACAAATAATCTGGAGATACAACATGGATGAGGAACAAGAAAGTGAGGGTGCAGGGACCAGTGGGAAGATTTGGAGGCATACCAACATCCACAAGTTCAGGGTTTGATAGAGGAAGAGTCATTAATGAACAACTGATAAGGAGACAACAAGGTATACAAATGGCGAGAGACACAGGCACCAAAACCTCCTTGAAAACAACACAAGGCACTGGGAGCATGACTCCATGCCCTGAGTTCAATCCTCAAAACTGTGAAAGAAAAAAAAATCAAGAAAGAACAAGTTGTCAACTATGATAAATGTTACTGAAATGAGAATGATTGGGCATTAAATGAGCACTGAACTTGTTGCTAAAGGCATTGTTTGGCAATTAAACAATTTCAGTAAGCATGGGTGGACAATATCTGCAAGAAGAGAGGGAAAATGAGCAACTTGGAAGCACAGACAAGGTGGTTTTAATGATACACAGCTCAAAAAGGGTTTTGCTATGAGAGACAGCAGGGAAAAGAAAAGACAGATAAAGCAGGGTTAAGTGATCAAGAGGTTTCCTCATTCTGCACATGATCTTTGCTTGCATGCATTCATTTCAAAAGTAAATGTAACAAATGTGTATCTGTATATCAGTGGAAATCTCACAAGAAAGGTGAAACTAATGATTTGATGATTCTGGTCATTCTGGTCAGTGAGTGAAAAAAATTAGTGTAAGTTTTCTAAGAAGAAAAGCAACAAGAGTACAGAATAAAAAGTGACTAGTTTGCCAGGCGCTGGTGGCTCACGCCTGTAATCCTAGCTACTCAGGAGGCTGAGATCTGAGGATCGCGGTTCAAAGCCAGCCCGGGCAGGAGAGACCATGAGACTCCTATCTCCAATAAACCACCAGAAAACCGGAAGTGGTGCTGTAGCTCAAGTGGTAGAGCGCTCGCCTTGAGCTGAAAAGCTGAGGGACAGTGCCGAGGCCCAGAGTTCAAGCCCCACGGCCGACAAAAAAAAGTGACTAGTTTACCTAGGTTAGAGGAGTAGGATTTCCTTTTTTATTGTAGAAAGTATAGGTGTAGGCCATGGCTATCTTTTTATAATATTCTCCTAATTTAAAAAAAATAATATGAATTGTAAGGCATGAAATGAGTAGAAGAGAGACATTTTGCACCAACAGGTATAGTAAAAACATTGGCAGAAGCCCCAGGCAAAATGAAAACGGAAATCT